GCAACTTTTACTTGAAAATAGTGTTTCTTACGAAAATTCAATAATGAAGAAATGTTAGGATTTCTAATAGAAATAAAAGAAAACAGAAAAAAGAGAAGAAAAGACAAAGAAAGAAAAGAGGAAGAAGCTGCTTTTTTTTTTTAACTAAGCCATCCTGCCACCTGTTGGCAGCTCAGCGGCAGCTCAGCTTGGGCCAGACTCGAACCGCTGTTGCTCAGAGCTGAAACTCTTGAGCAAACGCTTAACCAACTGAGCCACTCGGCCAGCCCAAGAAGCTGCTTTTTGATAACTGTCATACACCATGACCCTGCATCTCTTTTTAGTCAGCTTTGCCCAGAAGGAATCCTTCCTGCCTCCACTGGCTGGCCTCCTGCAGCTCCTAAAACAGTGGATGCAAAACTTTCAGAACAAGTCTTGTCACTGTGCCCAAAAGGGAAAACAGACAAATGCTTTGGAAAATTTCATTTTCCGGGCCTTTGGTTGTCCACACAGCAGGGCCCCTTACAGATGGACAGAGTGAAGGTCTTGATGAACAGTAAATGCAGACACTCAGCAAGTGACTGGGCCTGCAGTCTGCTGGGCTAACTGCCATAGTATTTGAAGATGGCTAGAACAAGCACTTTCAGGCTTTAAGTGCTGCCTGGGCCACTCGCCCCATTTACCAAATGTGGAATCAGAGGCTCAGAGAATTTTTAGACTTTTCCAAAACCATGGGTTGTAAGCCATAATCTCTTATTGACTATGACCCTCTGCTCTGCCCATATCTAATTTTATAAGTGTGTATGTAGTGTTCTCTCTGATGAAACCTTTTTGTTGTCATGCTGAAATGCCAGGGCAAACACTAGTGACACCTCATGATAACTGAGCACTGGGAGGAGCCAGCACTGGGCGAAGCCCACATGTGTGTTGCCTCTAGAGAACATAAGTCGTGTTGAGTAACTGTCCTTCTGTGGTAAATATTGGGTTGTCGGAAAAGTCATGATGTATTTTTTTCTGTTTTTCATTGTAAAAATGTGTCATGACTTTTCCGACAACCCAATAGCAGGTGCTTACTCTGCGACTGAGAAGACACATAAAAGTGTATTCAGTGTGACCCATTAAGTAAAAAGATCATCCTCTAAAATTCCAAGGAAAGAGGGCTGTGACGTAGCTGCCTTCTCCTGGGGGTATCTAGTGGTATCTCATAGTATTTTCTTGTGTTAAAAATATGAACGTATACTTACCTGGCAGGGGAGATACCATGATCATGAAGGTGGTTTTCCCAGGGCGAGGCTTATCCATTGCACTCTGGATGTGCTGACCCCTTGCGATTTCCCCAAATGTGGGAAACTCGACTGCATAATTTGTGGTAGTGGGGGACTGCGTTCGCGCTCTCCCCTAAAAAAAAAATATGAACGTAAACCATTAAAAGCTCCAAGGCCCCAGAAACTGTGACAAGAAGTCACAGCCTTTGTGAAGGCCCTAATCTCACTATTGATCAGAAGAGACCCACAGGTGTGGGGCGGTGAGGAGTGAGTGCCACTTTGGGGTCCCTCCCAGGGCCTGGAGACTGTCTGCTCAAAGCTGTCATCCATGCCCCTCAGTAAAACAAACACCAAATCACCTTTGGCTCTGGAAAACAGATGACATGGTGGAGCCCGGTGCCTCTGAGATCTGGGCAGGGACAGGGAAGAGCTGACCATGTCTTCCTCAGGGCAACCACTGGGCATTCACAGCAGTATACTTTGGCCACCACCAGCCCCATGTGCACACAAATGCCAATGATCTAGTTCTGTTTCCTCCTGGAGTTTTTTCATTTGAAATATACGACAGGGCTCAGATGCATAAGTGGTCAGGGAAGGTTGCAGACCTCAGCAGCCCATGAGAACTTGACCTATTCAGAAAGCTCAGCAACTCACGCTGAATTGCTCAGATATGTGTGGCCAAGTTTTACAGTTTTGTGAAGTTGGGCAAGTGAGTTTTTCTAGACTTCAACTTTCTTATCTGTGTGGCTAGAGGGTTGGCCTGGATTAAAGATGAGAGCCAGCTCTAACAATGTCTGTCTCTGAATTTGAGGAGGCTGTCTTGACTAGACTTCTCAGAAGCACAATGCAGTATTCAGATTATTGTGGATCCAGGAATGGCTGCTAGTTTTTAATCAGTCCACCCTTATTTGTCATCCTGAGTTGTTCTTCTTGACTAGTTATTTATCTGGAGATAGAAAGCAATGAGTTAAATCATCTCACATATTGCCTTCCCAGTCTTCTCAGCATGTATACACCCGTTTTCCCTCTGAAGAAATGCAGGCAGCTGCATTGATTTCCAAAAAGAGGAGGTGCTTAGAACAAATTGGACTTTGTTTCAGGCATCTGTGAGAAAAAGGATTTTGCCTTAACTTTCCTTGAGATAGACTTCCAGATCAAATGAGATAGATAGACCCACCAACTCTAAAGGCATCTGACTTTTTGTGATGAAGTCTGTTTCCTTCTTTTTTCCTCAGGGAGATGGAAACAACTGTTGCAGTAGTACTTTGGATTATTTACCTGAAGGTGTAAAAAAAAGGTGTTTCTTTTTCCATCCAACCACCTGATTTTCTATAAAAGACTCCTTATAGAGTTCAGATGTGTATCATAAAGTGTAGGAAGTGTTGCAAATTGCAAAGTGGATATAATTTGGCAAAATAAACAAAAACTAGGGGTTGTTGAATAAGGTGATTCAGGGTTATTGTTTCTATCCTGCTTACCAAACTGAACCACCAGTTATAATAACTGTGAGCAGGTTATCATGTCTGGGCAAGTGGTGGGCCAGGCACCACCTGTCTCCCTTTCTGGGCAAATGCAAGGCTCCAGGGAGTGGGACCAACGTGTACTCATGTGGTCTCATTCAGTGACAGTTTAAAAGTCTTGGTTAAATTTGTCCACTCTTACAATTAATTTCTTCAGATTTGATTTGTGCTTCAGACTACAGTACATAACAGCTAAGTACTTTTCCATCATGCTGGTCACTTAAATTCCTAAGTCTGTCCCCTCACGCTTGAAAGCTAAGGCTATATAGCATCTCAAAGGTCCCGTTTCACTAATAGTTTGAAGTCTAGGAAAATATTGGGTTGTTGGAAAAGTCATGACATATTGGTTCTATGTTTTTCATTGCAAAGATGCATCATCACTTTTCTGACAACCCAATAATATGTTGTGGAAATTAGGGAAACATAATGTGTCTTTATCGGGTCCTTTTAAATAACATTTCTAGATAGGGCAATCATTTAAATTCTTCTTTCCAGAAGGCCAGTTTTGAGATTCTTTTTAACCTTTCCCTTCTCTCCACTTGAAAAATTTTTTATTATTACATGTTAACCATGTGAGACTGTAAATCTACCATACTGACCAGTAGCCTACATGAACTATTTGGGCATGTCATTTTTCTTTATGCCACAAACCATGAAAGTAAATGACACAATGGCATTATAATTGATGAACTCCCAAGCCTAACAGTCTTCTGTGTGCCTCCTGTTACCCTGATTTCATCTTATGGAAGAAACCCTGAGGGTGAATGGAAATAGGTAATTACAAAAAATAACACCAGGCCCATTTTAGTAATTTTTCAGGAAAATGTTGAAATATAGACAGTCTAGTGAAAACATGATTAAAGGGGAGGAAAAAAATCTATGGAATTCTAGTTGCTACAGGAACACTCAGAACTCCCTAGAGTGAGCAGAGAAAGGGAGATGATGCATTGTCCTTTTTCCTAATTGAATAAAAAGCTGAATTAGTCATGCTGACTCACAACTTATTCCTGTTCTTGATAGTTTTTGCATATTTTGTGATACTTTTCCATAGGCTTTGAGCCAGCACTCTCGCCATGACCCTTGGACTCTTTTCCTGGATCTCTAGGTGTATTTGATGTGTTAGGCGTCTGTGAGCACCTGTGTGGCTGTGAGATATCTCCCAGGCCCAAACCTCAGCAGTACAGGGGCAGGGGCCAGCGGAGCCCCTCAGTGGATTTCCTGGAGCACTGTTTTGATTTTGAAGCTTGTCCATGTAATAGCTATTTAAAATAATAAAAATAAACTCCATGTGACTATTGCCTACCCCTGAAATTTGGAAATTTGTATGTAGACTGATTGTTTTACCAAATACATATCACAGAGTAAGTTATGTGATTTGACATTATAAACATAGTTGAGTTAGGGCAACTCAAAGTCCGCCTTTTCACCACTAAACCATGGGTGTTTTGTACAGCAGGAGCTATTACGCCTTCATGGTGGGAGGCATATGGGAGAAGGTAAAAAAGTCAAGATGTTTTGTTGTTGTTGTTTGTGGGTTTGTTTCTGTTATGAACATGTGGAATGTGTATTAACCATTTTTAAAATCTCTTTTAAAACTATAGTAATCAATGAAACATACATATGTCATAATTTGCTGGCAGACATTTGTGTAGCTATGGTCACTGCCAGGAATTATATTAGATACTCCAAGGAACTATGTTTTTTAGTGCTGGCCACCGACTGCGTTACTGATACACTATCAGCCAATTTTTTCAAAAATACTTATTTTTATTATTTTGCATGATCATGTGGGCTGCTGGTTCCTCAAATGTGCCTTTGACACACTTCTCTGATTATCAGAGAAAAAGATGTTCAGGCAGATGAGGAATATGTTTATTAAAAAGATAAATATACACACAATAAAGGTTTAGTTATCTTCTTATGGTAATGAAAAGAACATTTTTTAAGAGCCAAACATTTCTATTTATAACTTGGAATATTATAACACAGAATTTAAAAAATTGGCTCTCTGAGAGTGTTAACTACCTTCAGGGTAATACAAATTACAATAAACAAAATTCCTAATATGAATATTTAAAGAATCCCACTTGTTTTGATTACAAACTCAAAGAGATCTGATAGCTGCAAAAACAAAATTTTTAACTCACATAGAAGATGATTCTGATTTCCATATTTGTTTCTAATTATTCTAGTCATAGTCTCCTTTCTCCTTCCCAATCCCATTTCTGCCCACAAGATGCAGCATGGACCTCAGTGCAGCACAATGGCTCCCACTTGGCCAGGGTCAAAAGCTCGAATGAAGAAAACCCCCCTCCTGTGGTTTTCAAGTACAGGGCCAGCATGGACCAGCTCCAGGCCATAACCAACCGTGCGAACCGCTGCCAACAGGAGCTGGCTTTCCACTGCAAGAAGTCAAGGCTTTCACCTCACCATGGTGAGTACCCACAGCAACCCACCCTCATGGGGTGGAGTTCCCACAGGCCAAGTGGCCTGCACAGATGCCTGAGAACCTGTGCACTATGGGCCACAATCTGGAAATTACAGGATGCTTTTCCTTGGAACAAAGAGCAAGGTCAATATCTGTTGCTCTTTGCTCAAAGCCATGAATGACCTCAGTGCAGCAGCCCATGAGTTCACTTGGGTTTGCAAGTGGGCTGTGGCAGAGCACTTGGGCCTAAGATCTTGTCAAGGTCCAGGGGTATTTTTCCTTTGGCATCCTTAAGGTTTCTGTGTTACAGATAGCTTCATGGGACATGATTATGGGTGACCAATGAGGAAGTTAGGTAATAGTCAGTGTGGATTCTGAGAAACTATTACATCACCGTCCTGTTGATGCTAAATCACTGGGATTGTAATTGTGCCTGAAGAGGACAGTGAACCAACAGCTAAAATGACTGAGGTAGCAGAGCCATGCACGATGGTCATTGATATTTCTTCCGTTCCTTCTCAATCCAGCCTCTGATTCTTCTTCAAGTTATTCCGAATTATTTTTATGCAAATTCTCTAGGTTACTCAGAGAAATCTTGAATGGAGCCAAAGGCATTTTTACCTTTAAAAACACTGGATGGTTCTTATTTTATAGAGAAAATGAAAAATTCCAATGTAAATGTGTATAATGATTTCTTTGCTCTTCAATCTATGAAAAAATATGTTGAATAATTACGTTTTTTAAATGGTATTTTGAAAAATAACTACTCAATATCTGGGCTAAAAGGATCTTCTACCCCCTGGGAATACATTCTCAACACATTAGAAAAACAAGACTGTTGATACTGATTTCGTGGCATGTTTCTCACCCACTGGGCCTGCTGTGAGTGGTAACAAGCTGAGGGGCTGTCAGCAGAAGCAGAAGTCTCACTGAACTGGGAGCCCTATGAGCAGTGGCCTTATAATGTAGGGAGAGGCTAGGCTATGTTCCAGGTGGGGCCTGATGGGGAAAGCCTAAGGTTTGAAAGAGCACACTGAAATGGACAGGCATCTTCGCAGAGCCAACTGATGGGATGTCACTTCCGTTTCCCCTCCTCCCCTCACTCTTTGTTTACCAGAGACTGTTTCCCCTCACCCTGGGCTCTGCCTTTTGTGATCATCCTTACTGGCTGTGCTGTAACCTAATGGGGCCTCATCAGAGACTTTAGCATAATTGTGCAGTCCTGTGGAGCTGAGAGGCCTCAGTCACGTACTTGCGTACATGTGGGCTGTGCTGAGAACTGAACTGGAGATACCTCAGAATTGTTCTGAGCCTGAGACTCACCTCAGGCAGCAAAAAGGCTTTTCAGGGCCATTGCTTTAGTTTCCAAATACAGAGCTAACCCATTCAATATAAAAAGAAGCACATGTCTCCAAGAAACTTCTAAGACATGATATGAAGTACCAGTGTATTTAGCTAATGAATGAAGTGAAAGAAATCCATATTTTGCATAATATTAAATTCTTTCAATGGTCTATTAGGATCGCAAACAGATTTCAGATTCAGTGTATAAATTATTCTGGTTTTTACTTTGATGATAATTTTTAATGTAATTTCCAAATAAATTATATATTTGGAGTCCTCAAGAAAAATATGTAAATATAATGCCTGTATGAGTGAGGGACTACTTGATCATTTTCTAATACAAGAAAAAGATTTGCAAGTCTTGATATTAAAATATATTTACACAGTTGGAAATCCTCTTAAAAAATATCCTATTCAGAGTTAAAATAGCTTCACTTCTAAAATAGCCTCTTTATGTTTTAATAGAGGGGAGTAAGGGCACTCTATTGGGGAGGCAGGTAGTAGGGGCCAAAGTAGGTGTCACCTTTCTCATACTTGTCTTTCAGATGGAACCCCAGTGAGCTGGTGGGTTGGAAGAACCAATGAAACACACACTTACTGGGGAGGTTCTCTGCCTGATGCTCAAAAGTGTACTTGTGGATTAGAGGGGAACTGCATTGATTCTCAATATTACTGCAACTGTGATGCTGACCGGAATGAATGGTGATTTCCATATAATTTCCCTGTGCAAACTGTAATTTTTTTATTGCTTAAGCTATGTACTTTAGGTAGACATTGGACAAGGCAGTACAATAAAGAGAATAAAGTATTTCCTAGCAAGTGAAAAGGATAAACTTTGACATGTATGATGGACTTAACCTGAAGCCTAAAATATAAAGGTAGCTGTTTCTGTTTACCTGTGAATAAATAATCATACTCACTTTATTTTTCTAGTAAGACAAAAGAGGGATGCTAGATTAATGTTTCCCATTCACTAAAAGTAAAATATTAGGCTTCTTAAAGTTAAGCTTAACCCAGTTAATAAGATAAACCACCCAAGGCTGACTCAGGACTGTTTGCTGACCTCCCTAATTTCTAGTTGTGTTTTTAAATGCTCACATAGAGGAAACCAGGCATGACATTGAGTCCATGAAATGGGATATTTGGAACATATAGCTGCCCATAGAGATACATATCTCAAAAGGCTACAACTCAAAGAAAAGGTGAACAGGGATGAATCTTCCAGTTAGCACTCTAGGTAGAAAAAAATAGCTCCCTGAAAACTCCTGTCTACAGACCTGCCCTCACACAGGTTTAGCGTCCATATTTACATGACCTGAATGGTCCCTGAATTAAGTAAACCTTGCCACAGGTTGGAAACACCAATGGTTTATTGTTGAATTACATGAAATTTTTGTACAGGCCTTACAGGATTCCCACAGATAAAATGCCACCAAACATGAGCTCACAATCCAGTGTTACACACAACACTGCAGGAGAGAAATAGAGGCAGAAGAAACCACAAAGACAGATTGGATGCCTCAAAATCACAGCTGATGGATACATTAAAAACGTAAATAAATACATGAGCTGTTTGAAAAATAAATACTGGCATTGAAACATGGGAAAGCAATCAGATACTACTAACAGAGATGACTGTGGTTTACAACAGAACCAAATGAAAGTTTAGAAATGAAAATATTATCATTGAAATCTAAGACTTGTTGGACCAAATAATAGACACACATGATCAGAAAATTGGTGAAATGAAAAATACATGTAAATAAAGGGCAGACTAGAGCATAGAGAAACAAAGTGGTAACTAAGAAAGCAGTGACATAGAGGAGTGGTGGAGAAGACTGAACATGTGTCTGATTAAGTTTCAAAGGAGAAGACTGAAGATAATTAAGAAGAGGCAATATTCACATAGCTGAGAAATTCCCGATTTGAAAAAGTATTAGAATACCATGCAGGATAAATAAAAGTAAATCCATATCTTGACACATGGTGAAATCAAAGAACACTAAAGAGAATGTTAAAAGGAGCAGAGATTAATGGAAGGCTCTTCAAAGGAAAGAACTAGACAGCCAGCTGACCTCTGCTCAACAGTGCAGAGCAGCCCCACAGATGGGACACTCCCTTCACGGTGCAAAAGTAAAGCAACTGCCCAATGCTAAGTATTCACTGTTTTCAAAAGTGAAATAAAATGAAGATCCAGACAAACAGACACTGAAGAAACTTACCACCAGCAGACTCCACAAGAAGACTTAAAAAAACATATTTAAGAATGGTTTTCAGAATGAAAGAAAGTGATTTATAAAGTCTCAGAGGCAAGAAGGAATACTGAGGAAATAAATTTATAAGCTCAGAGGTTAAAAAATAAAACAGGTAAATACCAGACATCAATAACATATAACTATATATGGAATTGAAACATAAGAATTCTGATTCTATTACCAAGATGATTATGCTTTACAAAGGAATGAAAAGAATGTTCAGAGGGCCAGCTGAATGGCTCAGTTGGTTAAGAGCTCACTCAAGAGTATGAGCTCTGAGCAACAGTGGTTCGATTCTCAGCCTTAGCTGAGCTGCCAACAGGTGGCAGGATGGCTCAGCTAAAAAAAAAAAAAAAAAAATGTTCAGAAATGAAAATGTCATTGAAATTTAAAACTTGTTTTGTAAATATTTATTAGCATTAAGTTGCTTAAGGTGTAGGCATTACAATTTTAAGTGTAACCTCTAAAAGAATTGAAACAGAGCATGCAGTATTCAAATCAATAGAGGGAAGAAAGAAAAAATGAGATTTTAAAAATTTAGTTACTCCAAAAGAAGATAGCAAATGAGATTTTAAAAAGAAGAGGAAGCAACAAGTATGAAATAAGATCAAAATGTATGAGTAATCATGCACAATAAATGTTGCAAAAACATCCATTTAAATCCAGATATGTCATATTGAATTAAAAACAAGTTTAGCTTGTTTGTACACCTAGAAATATTGGAAGTAAAATGCTAGAAAAAAAATTTTACTAGGCAAATATACATAAAAGTAAGTAAATTTTAAAAGTCTTAATATGGACAAGATTACTATTACTATACTGATACTTTTTTAATTTCACCAGAAAAAAACTAAAAATCCCAAGCTTCTATGCTTCTAATAAAAATGACCCAAAATGGATATAGAAAAATACTGACAGAATTGAAAGAAGAAACTCAAATCAACCATAATAAGAAGATGTTTAAACATACATCTGTCAGTAATTGGTAAGTCAAGCAGGCAAAAATTGATAGGATATAGATATTTTTAAATGAAATTGACAGCTTGATTTATTAGACACATAAAATTATAGAATACATACTTTTCTCAAGCACAATGGCACATTTTTGCAAACTGATTTCCCTAATGTTCCATAAAGCAAAACAGAAAGTTTTACAATAGTTATCATACAGTTTCTCTGATTATAATGCAACTGTGTTGGAAATGAATAGTATATATATATATATATATATATATATATATATATATATATATATATATATATATATGGCAAATTCAAAACCAAAAAAAAGTTGAAAACAAAGAAATAAAGATTACATTATTCATAGAAAATATGGTTGTCTACAAAGAAAACCCATGAGTAGCTCGAACAATTCTGAAGACGGAAACAAGGTGTGGGGATCAGCCTTACCAGACCGAAGAGTGTTAGGATGCTGCAGTAATTAATACAGCCTGGCTTTGCCAATGAGATGAGCAAAAGCACAGCAGAACCCAACAGAGAGCCCAAGCGTTTTCAAAACATGGAATTCTGGGTGATGATAATTGTGTTGTCACCAGTTCCTTTTTCTACTGAACAATTGTAAGACATGAAAGTTGACCCATTATTTCTCCCCTGTAGCTTTCTCAACAACTCAAAGCTCTGTTATACCTCAAACACGTCTACTGAAAGTGAACGATAAGAATAATTTCTAGAGCATTAGGAATTAAAACAAAAAGGAGGTCGATTTGGAAGTTCTCTTACTGAATGTTTAAACTTATGAGAAATTATCATGTCTAGATATGCAATGTTTACCAATTTTGGAAAAAAATTGAGAAGCAAGAAAAAAACTGAATTATAACTATAGATTAGGCAGCTCCTGGTGACCATGGCAATTAATATATCTTACATAAAAGTGTGGGCACTTGGGAATGGCCAGTACTAATGAGGAACTTATAAATAACAATTCTTTAAAATTCCCTCAGATTCAGGAAGGCACTTTGCAAACGACAAAATGAAAAAGACTATTATAACATCTTACTTCATACACACAACAAGCATCATGATTTTCCTTCAGTGTTTTCAGGCTCTATGTGCACTGTCAGTGGTAAAAACAGAATTAAAGTCAAATTTTCACTACATTAAAAAGTGTAGCTTTTAAATTGTTCTTTAAAATTCAAGAATCCTCAGTTAACTAATGCACTGACATTTTCCCTTTAGGGTATTCTACCAAAATAGCAATCACAAGAATTAAAACACTTATATGTAACATTTACTGATATTTAACACCAGTAATTAATTTTGTTCATTATCCCCACATTTATAATAAAATAAATTTCCAGACTGGCAGCCATTCCCAACAAAGCCAGGTGTTACATCTTTGGGGCAATCTGCCTGTGTAACTCCATCAACAGGAATTACAGGGGCTTACCCAGATCAACTGGCTGTTTAATTTAGTCTTATTTTTATGAAAAACCTAATTCAAAAACATTGTTTTTTTAACTTTCAGGATATGTAATTCATATTTTTCCTATCTTAGTATATGCACTGCCAGTCACTGTATTAAAAATTTTAAACAAAGTAAAAATTTAATAATTAAAAAATTTCCACCTTAAAAGAACATTTAAATGCCTAGACAGGATTGTAATAGTTAACTATTAAGTTATGCAGATTTTTTTTGCAGTAAAACTATTAGGCTGAAACCTATGAAATTGCTGATTTTTTGACCTGCAAAACCAGAGCAGATTCTAAAGCTTCAACTTGTACATAAAGGAGTGGTGGCTTTGTAATTGTTAGGAATTAAAACTAACTAGGTTCATCACAGGTACAGGTCGTCAAAATGATAAATTAGACAAACTATTATTTGTCCATAAGCCAAAAGTGCAGATGTAATTGAAGTATACAATAAAAAACATGAACAGCTTGTAAGGTGTAGAAAAATCTCCTTACTTTGTCCAGAGAAGACATTGGGGTGCAGCCAGCTTACCACCCAGTTCTCTTGCCCCTCGTCCAGTCCTTATTGTCTTGCAACCACAGACATTAATGCTTCCCCAAATATTCACTTACATGGTGATAGTATTGTTGCTATTGTTATTATTTATAATGTCCACTAGGTTTCCTGGGGACATTGATGGTGGCTTTTATGTCCACATCCCCAAAACACAGGGCCTCACAAATAGAAGATGTGCAGTATGCATTAGTCGAATGAATGGATGATGACAGTCACAGATAAAGCACTTCTCCATGCATTACCTCACTTACTAATGTTAAGAATGCATCCTGTCACACTTATATCTTGGTTTTGCATCAGCATATTGCTTTGTCCTTGTTTTTAAATTTGTGGTATTGACAAGTAAGGAAATGCCTAATAACCACAACAGGCATTTCTGAACCTTTAGTAAAAAAATACTTTTGTCAGTCAGGTATGTTTTTTCAAGGCAGGTTGCTCTTGCATTGTAAGTTCTGCATTTAAGTATTACACAGTGGCTAAAATGGAGAGAGCTGTAAGTGCTTAATCACATTGAAAATGTAATCTCCTGTGTGTGCCTATGATGGGAGTTTGGACCTGCTGGCTTTCTTCTCTGTGGACAGGGAAAAGGACAACGGCCTCTTGTCCTCAGACAACCTCATTAAATATATTTCTGTGTCTTTAAATGTTCACATAAGCCGTTTGATTTCCCTGCTGTTAGGTATTTACAAATGTAGCTTATTACCTCTTGAACTGTAATAAAGACTGTTACTTCTCTGTGTGTCATTCAGAGGAAGGTGAAGGTGGTTATGTTTATGTTCTAGGACCAGCGACACTGTCGTCCTTTCCTGTAAGGAGCACTTGCCAGTCACTCGGGTTGTGATGACAGACGCAGGCCGACCACACTCCGAAGCAGCCTACACACTGGGGCCTCTGCTCTGCCAGGGGGACAGTAAGTAGTGGCAGAGGAAGTGTCTTGAGCCCTGACAACAAATGCAGGTCAATGTGTCATGAGAAATTTAGCTGCGTGGGTTCACAAGAACATGGTCTCTCTTGATAATCCATATTTCATGAGGGATGTATTAATTTATAAAATAAGTGTATATTGTCATCGTAATTGAGAAAAATATGTTACCTCTGGATTATGTGTCTCTTCTACAGTATTTACCTTAAGTCAGACTACTGCTGTGAAGAGTCATAGAATCAATTGAAATATTATGTCACTTGATCAGCAAACATTTAATATTTACCTACTAAGTATAAAGCATTCTGCTACATGCTAAAATGCCTAAGATTGGTAAGATAATGAGAAAATGAGAGGACTGAACCTGTCAAATGTAGCTGTTTGTTTGTCTCCTGTCAATCATGAGTGTTCACGTGGGAAATATCAATGCCCTTAACCCCACTTACCCCTCAGCTGCATCGGGATCGCTTTCATATACTCCATGCCTCCAAAGTAACAAAAATGAAACCTGTGAATGCTATCTTCAACTTCCCTCCTTCTTGTCACTCTTGAATAGACTCTCTTCAGACCTTCTTCCCTCCATCACTTCCCAGAAACTGCTTTTCCCAGGTCACCCCTGAAACCTCAGCATGACCCAGTCCAGTTGTTGCTCTCAGTTGTCGTCTGCACTGGCCTGTCAGCTGCTTTGGGTTCCTCTCATGGTTCACTCTTCTTTGATTCACTTTCCTTGCTTGAAGGCCAGCTGACCACAAAAGCTGCTTTTCCTCCATCCCTCCTCCTTCCCAATCTTCCTTCATCTCTCATCATCATCAGTGGGATGATATTGGGGTTCCCCAAGGCTCATCCTGGCCATCTCCCCTCTCTGTTCTCCATTGGTGATCTTTTTTCCTCAGTCTCATGGCTTTAAATACCACAGTGATGTCAGTGACCCCGTTTCTATACCTCAGGCCCAGTCTCCCTTAACTCTAGACCCTGCATCCAACTGGCTAGTCTGTACTTTTACTTGCATTTCAACTGTTAAAAAAATGAAAAAAGAAAAAATTTCCACAACTATCTTCCTCACCACAGCGCATGCCCACTCCATTCTCATTTGTTTCTTAGACTGAAAATGTTATAGTCACTCATGCCTTCTCTTTCCCTCTCATTATCCACATCTAATTCATCAGCAAGTCTTATTATATCTAATTTCAAAAACAGAACCAGAATCCACCTCCATTACCACCCATGCTTAGATTGTTTCTGTGGCCCCATAACTGGCCTGCCTCCTTCTGCCTCTGCCCACTGAGACCCCTTTTTTTCTCTGTTTTCTGAGGCCCCAGTGCCCAGGCAGTCCCCTGGCAGTTGTGGCATAGGCTGACTCAGGAGCCCGCAAAAGCCAGAACTCCGAGGGACAGGGTCTTCTGCCTTACTAGGGCAGCTGTGGCCCCAAGACAGTGGGCAGACTCATGTCACTTTTTTTTCTTTCTCTGTTCACCCATCACTTGGCAATGAACATGGGTACATGGGTACTGTTGCAGAAGTGCATAGGAGAGTGCAACAGAACAGTTTTCTTGTGGAAAGCAGAGCATCAGGGATCTGGAAAGTACCTGGAAGAGCACAGAGAGAGAACTGTTCAGGAAAGCAGGGCCATAAGTTGTATATGAATCCTCACCTCACCTCAGAGCTACACATGCATGAATCTGATCTGATTTATAACTAAAGAAGTTGAAAACTGAGCAAAGAAGCTACCATGCAGAACCCAGACTTGCCACTGGATGGCGCTTGAGTGAGGCAGATCTGAATAGTACTGCAAACGTCTTGAAAACTGGACTGCTGTTAGAGCCATGGCCACAGGAGGCGGGTTAGAATGTGTGGCCAGATCCTAACCAGACCAACTGCATACAAAAAAAAAAAAAAAAGAAAGAAAGAAAGAAAGAAAAATATCAACATGCTTCATAGAATTGAAACAAAGCCCAGAGTTTAACATAATATTTAAAATATCTAGGAAGTAACACAAAATTACTTAGCATACAAAGAACTAGAAAATTCTAAGTTGGCATAGGAAAAGATAATTAATAGAGTCTAATTAATAGATTCCAATTAATAAATTCCAATGCAAATATATCAGGTTAGAATTACCTGATAAAGACTTTAAGGCAGTTATTATACAAAAACTCTACCAAGTAATTCTAAACACTTTTGAAGCAAATAGAAAAAGAGAACATTTCAGCAAAGAAATAAAGACGAGCTAAATGGAAACTTTAGAACTGAAAAGTAGAGCAACTGAAATAAAAATATGCACTGGATTGGCTAAATAGCAGATTTGAGATGAAACACTCAAATATCTTAAAGATAGATAACATATCCAATTTGAACAAAAGATTGAAAAAGAATGAACAGGGTCTCAGGGACCCCTCAGGGTCAATAATAAAAGATCTAATATTCATATAACTGAATTTACAGCAAAGTGTGGAGCTGAAAAAATATTTGAGAAAATAATGATTGAAAATTTTCCAAGTTTGGCAAAAGACAGACGAGAAGTTGAATGAAACTGAGAGGGATAAATTCAAAGAAATTCATGTCCAGATACATCATAATAAAACTTCTGTAAACTAAAGACAGTGAGAAAAATTTGAAATCAGCCAGAAAGAATCTCATGCATTATCTATAGGGGAACACCAATTCAAATGAGAGTGAATTTCTCATCAGAAATGTATCTGGGAGTTTCTGGTAAGATGGTGGAATAGACAGATGCTGTGCCAGCTGCCTCCCAGGATCACACCAAAATTACAAATAATTTATAAGATATTCAACCTTGGAAGTTCCCTGGACACTAGATGAATACAACCTCTAAACAAAGGACTTAAAGAGGAGGTCATGTCCAGTCTGGTGATCTAATACATCAAAGCAATCAGCGTGACAGCCAGAATGAAGAAACAAAGAAACATGTCCCAAGTGAAAGATCAGAAGAAACCTCAAGAAATGGAACTAAATAAAACAGATATCCAACCTTTCAGAGACGGAGTTTAGAACACTGATGATAAGAATGTTTAAGGAACTTAGGGAGGACATAAAGAAGGATACAGAAATCATAAAAAAACAACCAGGTAGAACTAAAGAATACAATAACTGAAATGAAGAACACACTCGAAGGAATCACCAGTAGATAGATGAAGCAGAGTATTG